AGAGTATGAAGTACATGGCTACATAACAGATGAACAGAAAATTACTGTTTGCTTAAGAGTATTGATAATAACTATTGAATTAGCATATCTACAAGTTACTGATCACACTAACACACTGTGAGCTGTAGACATTATCATTCTTATATAGGGGTAATGAGGCACAGTTGAGCTCAAAATGCAATGTACTGAGGAGTCCTCTTCTCTAGACTTATACAGCCAATTGTCAACATTTCCTTGTAGCTACCTCAAAGTCATATAAAATTCAATATTCATAAACTGAGATCTCTCAAATCTTTTTCCACTTTAATTTAGCGAATGGTAATACTACTACTGTCTATCCAGCATTGTAAGCTAGAAGCTTGAGTATCCTTGATAATTTCCTTTTTGCATACTCCCCAATGTAGACTATGCTTTACCTCTAAATATTTTTTGAAATGGTCCACTCTTCTCCATTTCCACTACCAGCAACAACCTAGTACAAACTGTTAACTCCTTCGTGCATTATAATGGTGTAGGCCTGTTCTCTCTCCCTAGTTAGTCTTGTTTCCTTCCTATCCAATCTTTTTTGTGGTACTRTAAGAATTGAAACTAGGGTTTTGCACATGCTAGGCAAATGCTCAACCACTATCCTACATCCCCAACCCTTTTCTTTTTCTGTCCTTGAGACAGGGCCTTGCTGAGTTGCCCAGGTGGGCCTTGAATTTGTAATCCTTCTGCCTCAACCTTCTAATTCACTCAGATTACAGATGTATGCCACCACACCCAGGCCAATCCACTCTTTACTATACTATACTAGGAAGTCTCTTTTTGAAGTGGAATTTTCATTCTTCTATTTAAAATCTTTCAGTAGCCTTCCACTGCTTTTTTGAATCAATCATCTACTTTTCAAGACCCATTTTCTGTTCCCTTTCCCACTCACTAGGACTCAATCCTTCAAATGATCATGGATCCCTTTTGCCTTAGGGATTTTGGAACAGGCAATTTATTCTAACCTCAGATAATTAAACTGTCACTCATTCCTCGGTTCTCAGATATACATGATTAAGGAATTTGTCCTTGGTCTACAGGGGTTCTTTTCAGTTCCCCCTACTTTTCCTTTATAGCATTATCACTGTTTATAATTACATACTTATGTGATTATTTCATTAATGTGTACAAACTTCATGAAGGGAGAGACCATACAGAGATTTATGTTATTTTGTTTCTCTCTCTCTCTCTCTCTCTCTCTCTCTCTCTCTCTCTCTCTCTATATATATATATATATATATATATATATAATATTTACAATAGTGCCTGGCCCAAAGCAGGCAACAAATAACTATGTGTGCTGGTTGAATAAATTATTATTATTTTTTAAAATTTTAGTTGTAGATGAACACAATAGTTTTATTTTATTTATTTTATGTGGGGCTGAGGTTCAAACCCAGTACCTCACATGTGCTAAGCAAGTACTCTACCACCAAGCCAAACCCCAGCCCCAAATAAATTGTTAAAATATTATTGATTCATTTTAGTTATACATGACAGTAGAGTCCATTATGGCACAATTATATAAGCAGGAATATATCTTTTTAAAAAATTTTTTTAGAGAATTTTAATACTTTTTTTTTTTTAGTTTTCAGCGGACACAACATCTTTGTTTGTATGTGGTGCTGAGGATCTAACCTGGGCTGCACACATGGCAGGCGAGCACGCTACCGCTTGAGCCACATCCCCAGCCCAGGAATATATCTTATTCTAATTATGACCCCAGTTTTGTGGATGTACACAATGATTTGAATGAATCAATTAATGGAAGCATAAACAGCTCCAAAGAGCTAAAATCAAGAAATGACATTAAAGGTTTTTAATGAAGCCAACAAATAAAATTAGAGTTGTATTTTGGAAACATCCTCTTAGTTATGCTATGGAGCACTGATTTAAGAGGGGAGAGAATGGTCAGGAAGATAGTGAAAAGTCTACAAATGATAAGATGGAAGACTTCAAGTAAGGCAATATTAGTAGAGAGAGAAAAATAGATGAATTAGTTATTCTGGAGCTGTTCTGTAATCATTTTATGACCAATGAAATATAAGAAAGTGAGGGAAAGAAGCTAAGTGTGGTGGTGCACACCTGTAATCCCAGTAACTCAGGAGACTGAGGCAAGTTCAAGGCCAGCCTCAGCAACTTTGTGAGGCCCAGCAGCTTAGTGAGCCC